GCCCAGCTAATTTTTGTATTTTTAGTAGAGACAGGGTTTCATCACATTGGCCGGGATGGTCTCAGTCTCCTGACCTGTGATCCGCCAGCCTTGGCCTCCTAAAGTGCTGAGATTACAGGGATGAGACACTGTGCTTTGTCCACTAAACTTATTTTTTTAACTGTTTTTCAATAAAAATTAACCTTAGCTTATCTAACATTTTTACTTTAGAAAGTTTTTATTTTTTTAACATTTTTACTCGTTCGCAATGCTTAGCTTAAAACACAAACACAGTGTACAGCTGTACAAAATTTTTTATATCCTTATTTACAAGCTTTTTCATTTTTTTTTTCCTTTTTGAATGTTTTGTTAAAAACTAAGACACAGACTCACGCATTAACCCAGGTCTGCACAGGGTCAGGATCATCAATATCACCGTCTTCCACCTCCACGTTATTTCCCACTGAAAGATCCTCAGGGGCAAAACCACGCATGGAGCTGTCATCTCCTCCTTCTGAATACCTCCTGAAGGACCTCCCTGAGGTTCTTCTTGAGTAGGCTCCTTGATACCAACATCACCACAAACACCTGAGCAATGCATTGCTCTGTGACAGTAAGACAGCTATGACAGTGACAGGAATTTTTCAGCTGTATTATAATCCTATGGGACCACTGTCATATACACTGTCCATCATTCACCAAAACATCGTTATGTGGTGCATGACCGTATTACCCGAAAATCGGTTTAAATCCAGATAACATCTAAACAAGGGCTCTTTGTAAATCTGCCTTCGGTTCCAGACGGCAGGAGATGCTGTTATTTACTACCCCGCCAGTCATCAAACCTACCTGAAAGTCATTTCCTGAAAGTCGTTTCCTTCAAGCCAGTCCCCAATGCCCTAAGGTGTTTGAAGAAATGTGATATAACTCACCCAAATATAAAAGAGAGGAAGGTCACATTTATGTAATTTTTATTACAGTATATTGTTATTATTGATCTGTTTTATTATTAGTTATTGCTAATATCTACTGTGCCTAATTTATAAATTAAACATTATCATAGATATGTACTATCGGAAGAAATAGTACATATCTGCGGTTTCAGGCATCCACTAAGGGCCTCACCATGTACCCCCAATAGAGAAGGGGAAATGGTTGTAAACAGACAGTTTAGACAGAGAGCTCTTCCCTAGCTAGGCACAAAAGTTTCAAATGCTTTGATAGTTTTTAATTTCCTGCTGAGGCAGGGAAAAAATACAAAGTCTATCCAGAGAAAAAGCCAGTTAGTTTTTTAAAGAGGTTTTAATCTTTACAGAGGAAAAGTGCTTTCAGACAGTTGCAAAGATTTTTCAGAAAAGAAATATCATTGCTCTTACTTTGCCAAGAAAAATTGAGAGACTTCATCACAGGTCATATCAATTTGTTCTGGGTAACAAAATGCTCAGCCATATAAGGCTAAATATGTAAGCAGATCTGCTGTAATCTTAATTATCTGAAAGCTCAAAATTACTGATAAAATGTAATTTACAATGACATGAGACTCTACTAACATACATCACCATTAAAGATCATGCTTTTAAGATCAAATACTATTAAATTGTAATTTTCTAAGTAGTTCATGTATATACTTTGTCCCTATCAAAGTATCTTTTATTTTGTTCTAAAATTTTACCACCACTTCCAATTTACGACTTCTACCTGACAAATGAATACATGAATTGGCAGGTTTCTTTTACACTATGCTGGAGCTCATGTTTTCTCTAATATTTCACACATTTACTACAGATATTAGATGACCTTGTCTGACCCCACATCACCATAAATTCAAAAGGTCTGAGCAGAAAAAAGGGAATTTGCCTTAGAATATTTGGTCTCATTAAAAACTAAGTCCTCCAAATCATGCCATCTGATCACTCCCGGATTCCACAGTGAACAAATGATAAAAAGATGGGGTGGGAAACAGAGGTGGGCTTTCTTACTTTTTCTTTCTGACTTTCTCATAATTCTACCCAGTCCTCAATAATCCCAAAAAGAAAATAAAGGTTTAGAAAAGTAAATTCTTGTAGGATTGTACCTTTCTTCTAATTACTGTACCGCTTTTTATCAGCTAAGAGAAACACTTCTGTACTTCAACTCGGGCATAGAAGTATTCCTGGACCACAGTGAGGGACGGGCTGCTATTTTTCATGGCCCAGTAACAAGATGCAGATGAATTGGGGAGGAAGAGAGTTTTTATTTCTGCCACCAGTTATAGGGAGAAGGCCTGGAAACTATCGCCAGACCAACTCAAAATTACAAAGTGTTTCAGATTCTAAGCTATGTGTCTACTGTATGTGTAAGTGTCTATGCATTCATCTAAAGACATAAGTGATTAACTTCTTTTAATCTATAACTAAGGTCTGAGTTCCGGACACCTTCCTCTGGAGCCTCGGTAAATTAAGTTTGGTGGGCTGGAGTGATTACCCTTATCTTGTCTCCTGCTAAATCACAGAGATGTGGGGAGTTTCTCTGAACCCCTGATATACTTGTCTGTGGAGGCCTGGGGAGTTTCTTCAGACCCCCAATAAAACTTGTTTAATCCTAAACGGGTCCTTTTAAGAATTCCTTCATTATTTCATCATGCTTCAAGACCCAGGAAAGGCCTAGGCAAGACTCTTGGTGGGCTTTTGTTACATTCCAGCCTTTGTATAAGGGCACTGGCTCTCTCAGCTTTAAATATTTAACTTAACCACTCAGCGAGTGCTGAAACAGTTGTTACGGAGGCCTGCATTAGTGAGACCGGGCCTGCCACAGAAGGGCTATTTAATACAGACCAGGCATTCCAGCATCATGAATCTCTGTCACCTACAATCTGCTGACTAAAGGATTCGGGGTGGGTTTGGGTGTGCCCACACCTCTGCAGCAAGGTGTACTGTCCTCATTGTTCATTTTCCCAAAGCCCATCTTATTTAAAATTACTGTTCATGCCTTTAGCGATACTTGTACTGTAATAAAGCATCAAGTTATACCCCAGGGAATCTGTTTGGCATTGAAGCAAAAATATTGGCTTTAATGGCAGATGGAAGTTAATGTGGTGGTCACATCTCAGCTCCTCGTGAATACTTTCCACGTTACAAAGTCTGTTCACAGAGAATGAGCAGTCATGGGGCATACCCAGGGGTACAGATATCTACAAATGGGGTAGCTGTGATGTCTCAGCTCAAGGTCAAGGTATCTGCCAGCATCCTAGGGAAAGTCTTCATGGTAACTGCCAACATGCAGCTGCCTCCAGCAGGGGCCATTCTCCCAGACATCAGTGCGCCTTTGACCATTTACAGCTGAACAGTAAAAAAGGAACAGCACAATTATTATGCGGAGAACAGATTTGTCCTACAAATGGATTTCTCTTGATTGTGTAATGTCTAATAGGGAATATAGCTTCTGGAGAAATCAAATTCCCCGTTCCATTGTCCATTAAAGTTTATCCAAAGCCATAATGTGCTATTGGCTATTAAAAAAGAAAAAAAAAAAAAAAAAAAAAAAGAGGTAGTTTTGAATAAGAATCACTCGTTTCCCTCTTTAAGATGCCATCACATGATTTCCCAGGTGGGAGGCGATGAACACCAGGAAGAATCCTTAACAGAGCACCCTGAAGGAAAGAGTAGAGAGCCGCAGGAATCATAAAATCCCTCATTCCTACCAATTGGAAGATGAGAATGTATTTCAAGTGTTCATAAACTGACATAATTTAATTTGGAATTGCTCTTTAAGCAGAAAAGAAGAGTATCTTTTTATGTGTTCATTCTGATCCATAGTATCACATGATCATCCTTAAATAGAAACTCAATGAAGTACTTAAACCTAAGCATCTCATACTAAAAGGCACTAAAAGCTTCATTGGTGTTCTGGTTCTTTTTTTTTTTTTTTTTTTGCAGAAAAAAGAAAAAAAAAAAAAGGAGAGAAATTCAGCTGTGGTCAAGTTGGAAAGATTTCTTTACAAGGAAGGAAAAATGAAAAAGAAATCAATTACATAATGGGGAGTAAACCTTGCTGAGGAAACTATACCTGCTGAAAGCTGATCATCTACAGCAAACAAGGCAAAGGTGGTTTCAAAAGTAGATAAACAATTAAATCAGCAAGGCTGAGAGATCCTGACCCACAGCCAGGCTAGCCTGCAGCTGGCTCCCTTACACACAGTAGGCATTCCTTTGTATGACTTGATGAAAGTCTCACTTAATCTCAACCGATTAATACACCTCTGGCCTTGAAATTATATATCTCAATTATGAAGCCACTAGAGAGCAGCCCCAGGGTTTTATACAGAAAGTTTTGTCAAAACTATCCTCAGTCTCAGAAAATGTACAGTGTTTGTGATGTGTGTATTTAATACCAGGATACAAAATGACTTTCAAAGCCTGGATGCAAAAAGATAAAAGCAGAAGCTCTTATTTCACATGTGGAGAAACGAGGATTTTACTATAGGAATGTATTCATACCAATCTCTTAAAAATATAGATCGTCAGTGAAAAAGAACGTAAGGAATACCCAGGTGCCAGCTCCTGTGGGCACCGGGAAGTGTGACTGTGTGTCCTCGGGGTCTGCTGATCTTATTGGAAGTGTTGCTGCTGAGAGCACACAAAAGAAACCCACCATGGGATGCAGCCCCGATGTGAAGCCTGCCCAAGGGCAGGGGAAAAGCTATGGCTTCTGGCTGAATAAAAAAGCCTTCCTGAGAATGAGCTAGTTCATCATGGCCTTGAAACTCAAGTTGTTTTTGACAGGTCTTTTTTAACAAGTAGTTTTTTTGTTTGTTTGTTTTTCTTTCTGTCTTTATTTTTAGTGTACTTTAGGTTCTGGGGTTCATGGGCAGATCATGCAGGATTGTTGCATAGGTACATACATGGCAAAGTGGTTTGCTACCTCCATCCCCCACCACCCCCCCCGTCACCTGTATCTGCCATTTCTCCCCATTTAACAAGCAGTTTTTAGAGAAGTAGGAGAAGGCAATATTTGTTCATTCCGCATTTGAAAAAAATTTTTTTTAGAGATGACGTCTCACCATGTGGCCTATGCTGGCCTCAAATTCCTGGCCTCAAGGGATCCTCCTGCCTGAGCCTCCCAAGTAGCTGGGATTACTGGTGTGAGCCACAGCACCCTGCACTGCAAACATTTGTTAACTACTTACTCTGCATAAGTTACTAGAGAATACAAGAGAGCACACATGGAATGATGGAAGATCCACCATTCAGGCTGGCCTCTAACATCCGCAGAGTTTGAACAGAAGGACAAGTGGGCCCCCCATCATACATCTAAACAGTGAAATGTAGTAAATTAAACTGTAGATAAAATATGTTCTATTCTGCTATCTTGAGAAGTATACCTTCCTAATCATAAAATATTAAAATGGTAGAGTCATGATCAAATATTCATGATAACAGAATAGAATGACTATTTTTATTTAGTTAGTTATTTTTGAGACAGAGTCTCGCTCTTGTCACCCAGGCTGGAGTGCAGTGCACTGTCTTGGCACACTGCAACCCCTGCCTCCTGCCTTCAAGCGATTCTCCTGCCTCAGCCTCCTGAGTAGCTGAGATTATAGGCTTGCAACACCACGCCCAGCTAATTTTTATATTATTAGTAGAGATGGGTTTTGTCATGTTGGCCAGGCTGGTCTCGAACTCCTGACCTCAGGTGATCTGCCTCCCAAAGTGTTAGGGTTACAGGCACAAGCCACCATGCCTGACCTATTACTTGCTTTTGAGAGGTCCTGATGATGTGCCTGTGATAGTAGATGAATAAGAAAATCAAGACATACATAACTTATAAATGTTCATCTATGTATTTCATAAAACTTATATTTTACCTTCTTGTTAACAAAATCACTAATTGTGTGTTCGCAGTCAAAATTGTCCATGTAATTTTGTTCTGTTGAGAGTAATGCTAAATTAGGCCATCCTTCTTGAGTCACTGTGGTTTATTTCAGTACAGAGAAATTTCATTCTGCTAAGTTAGCAGCAACTGTCAATAAAATTATTTTAGGCGATATTTAAAATCAGAAAAAATAGATTTTACATATATTAGGTTGGTGCTAAAGTATGGTTTTTGCTATTACGTTCAATGGAATTAGAAGTTCTAAGGACAGGTTGAAAATAAAAATTATCATTATCCTAGAAAAATTCTACAATACTTTTAAATGTATATGATATATTTCTTTAAGAGATGTGTATATAATACATTTCTTTTAGAGAGGGTGTATATGATACATTGTATATGATACATTTCTTTAAGAGACTGATTTATAATACATGTGATACATTTGTATGTATGTGATTTATAATATGTGAGATACCTTACAAAAGTGATACATTATAAATCACATTTGTAAATGTATCACATGTATTATGACTCACACCATCTCACAGAGAAATATCTGAATTTAGCTGGCCACAGTGGCTCACCCCTGTCTCTCAGCACTTCGGGAGATCAATGTGGGCAGATCACTTGAGGTCAAGAGTTCGAGATCAGTCTGAGCAAGAAGGCAAAAACGCCATCTCTACAAAAAATACAAATATTAGCCGAGCTTGGTGGTGTACCTATAGTCCCAGAACACAAGAGGCTGAGGTGGGAGAATGGCTTCAGCCCAGGAGGCAGAAGTTGCAGTAAGTCGAGACAGCATGACTGCACTCCAGCAGAGGTGACACAGTGAGATCCTGTCTCAGAAAAAAAAAAAAAAAGAAAAAAAGAGAGAGAGAAAGAAAAAGAAATACCTGAACCCATACAATACTTCTAAATTTTTTCAAGTTTTTCTTAACTGAAATATTTTGTAGAAAATCTATAATGAAGACATCTCAGTCTATAATGATGGGAAAATAGTATCTATAAATTAGTTTTGGAATTAGTTATACAGGTAGCTTCACAGCTTCAGAGTAATGCAAATATTTCCGTTTCCTCATTCTAATGTCCTTATATTTTACAGCTGTGTGACTTTAGATATATCACATGAAATATCTTCTAATTTAGAAAAAAATTTCTCCAAAACTTGTTTTATGTGTTTTTTCTCTCACTTCATTATGCATTAAAAGATAATTTTATTTTTTTTTGCCATTCTAGTTTTAATTTGTTTTATTTTTTATCTGTATTACATGTTCATTCTAGCCTCAAATTCCAAAATCATGTCTTCTAGACTTAGAAACTATCCATTCTTCTTAAGAAATGTTGGATAGTTAATGTCAAAAGAAGCATCATTCTGCTTGGCTAAATACTGGACATTCGTATGTTTAGAACACCATAGCAATGTTTTATATTGGCTATTTTCTTTGTCAAATGGTACTAATTGTTTTGCTGTTTGTTCATAATTTTTCAGTTCTAGTCATTGTATCAGGTATACTTTTCTCTGATAGTGATTTTTTTTAAATATTCTCTTAATCAAGAAACTAAGTATTTCCATCACAGATAACTTCATTGCCCAAAGCTGGTCTTGAGTTTGGCTATAAAACATGTAAGAGTGGTAACAAGGATAATCTTTGAACTTAAAATAAGGGCCAATTCCTCTAGACGTGTTTTCCATCCAGTGAAAAATTGCAGTCATTAATCTGAATCAGATTGTTTTCTGAAAGAAACCTCCTAACATCATCGATGATCGAAAGGCACCCTCCAGGATCAGCTTCTGTCAGACAGCAGGCTCAGCAGCGCCCATCGTCTGCACCTGTGGCTGGTTCTGGGCAGACAGTGCTCCTCACCTATCAGCTGGCCCTGGTGCCTTTGCTGCTTCAAAGCTGGGAATTAGATGGGAATACTTGTGTGATTTATTTACGTGATTTTGATCAGTATTTCAACCTTTGCTTAGTTAAAAATATAAACTTTTGTGGAGTGTATCAGACCTGAGTACATGGGATATGAGGAGGAAAATGTGCTTGCTCATCTCCATTGTTACAGTAGCAAAAGCCTAAATAATTTGCAATGTCCAATTGGCTTGTTTTTATCATTTTGATCAGTAATTAAATCTGAAAAATGTGTTATGTACTTTTTGCAAATTTTATATGGGTCATGCTTGACAGAAGCCTACTCTTTCTTTCATTGTTTCAGGAATTTTAAAATGTAAGCAGATTGCCTCTGAATTTCTTTGGTTTTTTTCCTGCTGCTTCCGCCCCTTTTCTGGGCTCTATTTTTGTCTTCTATTTCTAGCCCCGTCTTGACATGTACTTATTCTTAGTGATCTAAAGAACTTTTAAAAATGTAATTGTGGCCGGGCGCGGTGGCTCAAGCCTGTAATCCCAGCACTGTGGGTGGCCGAGGCGGGTGGATCACGAGGTCAAGAGATCGAGACCATCCTGGTCAACATGGTGAAACCCCGTCTCTACTAAAAATACAAAAAATTAGCTGGGCATGGTGGCGCGTGCCTGTAATCCCAGCGACTCAGGAGGCTGAGGCAGGAGAATTGCCTGAACCTGGGAGGAGGAGGTTGCGGTGAGCCGAGATCGCGCCATTGCACTCCAGCCTGGGCAACAAGAGCGAAACTCCGTCTCAAAAAAAAAAAAAAAAAATGTAATTGTATCCAAAGACTATAAAATCTGAATATATTTTCATGAAAATACAAATTAAATGTAAAAACTGAATGTATATTTTTCATATACTTTGAAGTTTTATTAATAACATAAACTACCTTAACATTAAAGAAAAATGTAAATAATAATGTCAAAGTTTATATCAAATTAATTGAAATTAAGCTAAAATGTTTTTATTACTTATGAAGATCTAATGACATCTTACTCAATATTTTTACAAAAGTAAAGCTATTTGCAGTTAAACATCCAAGGTCTACCTACTCAGCAGTGGAGGGAATCTGTATCTCACTTCACACATATTATGGCTAAACACACATATATATGAATGTAAGAGTATTGCAAACTTAAGAATAAGATGAGTTGTCTAATATTCCTTAGCCACCATGTATAATTATCACAAATTCCATGCTAATGTATTCGTAATTCCGGACCATATTTGGTTCATAAAGAAATGCGAGGAAATAGATGTTCAACAATACATGGAAAAAATACTTTGCAAGGATTAGAATGGCTTTCATGCTATCTGAGGGATTTGACAATTGATATGGTTAGGCTTTGTGACCCCATCCAAATCTCATCTTGAATTATAATCCCCATGAATCTCCACATGTCAAGGAAGAAATCAGCTGGCGGCAAATGGGTCATGGTGGCAGTTTTCCTCATGCTGTTCTCGTGAGACTGAGTTCTCATGAGATCTGTAGGTTTTACAACTGTTCGGAAGTTCCTCCTGCATGCATTTGCCTTTCTGCCACCTTGTGAAGAAGGTGCCTTGCTTCCCCTTCACCTTCAACTATGATTGTGAATTTCGTGAGGCCTCCCCAGCCATGCAGAACTGTGAGTCAATTAAACCTCTTTCCTTTATGACTCACCCAGTCTCAGGCAGTTCTCTATAGAAGTGTAAAAATGGATCATATAGCCAATTAATGTGCTTGTGCTTTCTCTTACCTACACATTTCCACAGCCCTAATCCTCCCTGAGCTCCAAAACAGTAGCTCTCTCCAGTGTTGCCACTGGTACAACCCATGAATCTTGGCACATTTGGAATCTCAATGTCACCTTCTGTTTTGAGGACAAGGCAAGACATGGGGAGAAGCATTTCCTGGGGCTGGAATAGAATGGACCCTGAGAATAGGACTCAGGGTTACCAACTGCTCTGTGTCAGCACTGAGCACTGGGCCCAATGGGCAGAGGCTCCCAGGGGTTCTTTGTTTGCCACGGATTGGTTGAGGAAGGTACCTCATCTAATCAGTCTTGTGATACTCTCCCCCAGCCACTAAGCTCCAGTCAATCTCACTGCCCTCTTTCAGTCTCTGTCCAAATGTATTCCTGCCTTAGACTTCACACCTCTGCTTCACTGCCTCCTCTGTCTGAAAGCGCCAATTTAAATACCACCTTCTCAGGCATGTTGGCCCTGATGAAGTTTCTAAATAAGCTTGTCCCCCGCCACCAGTGTCTCCTCACTGCACTCCACTTCCTGCATAGGATGTCTCAGAATTTCCACTCTGTATTTGATCGTTTTCTTTGTGTCCCCAATTTGGGCATAAGAGCCACAGGGGAGGGCCATGAAGCACTCTGACCAGCACAAAATAGGCACGC